TTGGTGGCTCTGACATCACAGACATCACTGTGAGGTCATAACCCTGGCTGTATATATAGGGGGCGGTGCCGGGTGGATTCTCTGTAGGTAGTTTGGAGGTTGGAGTTTAGTTGGGTGGTTGTGTGGTGATTTCTCGGGTTTCGGATTTGGTTTGTTGATTTGGCTTCGGTTTTCCGTTCTTTGGATTTGAATTTGGATTTGGCTTTGACGTTTGGACTTTTGGTTTATTTTTTTGCCTTTTTTGTTTTCCTGTTTGTTGTTTTAATTGTATTTTTTTAAATTTTTTTCTTTATATTTTCTTTTTCATTTTTACTTTATTTCTTTTACTTTTATTATTTTAGGTTTTTGTTTTATTTACTTATTTTTTCTTAATTTACTATTTGTTTTTTTTCTTTTACTTTTGTTGTTTTCAGTTAGCTAGCATTTAAGCATTTTGTTCATTATTTTTCATTCCTATTAGATTTTGTTTCACGATAGATATTAGATAGTAGTTACATTGTATTCATTTATTATATTTACATTTTAGTGTGTTTATTATAGTTATTACCTTAGACTTTGCTTACATTTTATTCCATTACTATCTTTTATCTTTTATTTCATTATATTTCATTGTATTTTATTATATTGTTTTCCATTTTGTCCATTTTATTGTTTTTGTTCTGCTCTGTTGTATTTGATTATATTTGGTTGTGTTTTCTTTCTTTGTTCATTCACTTGCTCCCTAGACAACATCGCTAGGGTGCTGTGTAGGATGACTAGCCAGAGTAGAGAGGCGAGGTTCTGGGAGGGCCATGAGGCCAGTTCCTCGAAGAAGGACCTCCACAGGGCTCACTACCAGGTGCTGAGGTCCATCCATGAGGGGAGCTTTGCCTCCATAAAGTTGGCCAAGCACCTGCCCACAGACACCCTGGTGGCGGTGAAGGTCCTCGAAAAGTTGGACAGCACCTTCTTTGCCACCGAATTGGACATTTTGAGGTTTGTGGAGCACCCAAACATCATCAAGCTCTATGAGGAGGTAGAAACAGAGGAAAGGTTGTATTTGGTGATCGAGTATATGGACAAAGGAGACCTTGTGGACTACCTGGACAAGGTGAACAGGCTGGCAGAGGAAGAGGCCAGGGGTCTGTTTAGGCAGATCTTGAGGGCAGTCAAATATTGCCACGACAACGGCATTGCTCACAGGGACCTTAAGGCAGAAAATATACTGCTAGACAGCAGGGGCACAGCCAAGCTATGTGACTTCGGATTGAGTACGTGGTTCCTGCCAGGGCAGCAGCTGGACAGACAGTGTGGGACTATGGCCTATATGGCCCCTGAGATGTTCAGGCAGGAGAGCTACCAGGGCCCCAAGGTGGACATCTGGAGCCTTGGGGTGTTGTTGTACTATATGGTCATGGGCCATGTGCCCTATAAAGGCAAGTCATGGGCTGTCCTCCGTAAACAAGTTTTAAGTGGTAAATTTAAAATACGAAAATCTTTTTCCCCTGAACTTCAAGGAATGTTAGCATACCTTATGGCGAATGATCCAAAGAGGCAGCCCACGGTATGGCAAGTAATGTGCCATCCCTGGTTCAAGACAATTAAGGGAGCCTCACCATGCCCCAGCCAGCCTGCTCTGAACCAGCCAGACCCTGCCATACTGCACATCATGGTGTCATACATGGGATTTAACCCAGAGGAGGTGCGGGAAGCCCTGTTGGGAAGAACATTTAATAATAAGAGGGCAACCTACAGCATGCTCAAGGAGCAGCAAGATGAGGGCCGAGACCTGATCCATCCGATGTGGTACCCGCTTCCTGGGCCTCCGCCTTGCTCCTCACCTGTACATCCATCCTTCCAAAATGTGCTGGTCAAGAGAACCAGTGCTCCTGTGCTCCACCCCGCTGTCCGTCTGCATGCTAAGCAGCAGCAGGAGGAGGGTGGCAGGCACACCAAGTCGGTGTGCCTCCCCTGTCTCCTGTGGAGACCCAGCATAACTGGTACAGAGCAGAAGACTGAGGGTAGCAAGCCTCCCTCTACTCCAGCTGCAGCAACAAGAGCAGCAACAACTACCCTCCCCATGGGCCAACCGGGGGAACTGACCTGCCCAGCCCCTGAGCAGGAGAGGCAGGTGGGCAGCAGGGCTAGTTCTCTCCCCTGCATCCTATACAATACGTGGACAAGGCCCAAACGGGGGAAGAGGGACATCGGCTCGGCTGCTCCACGTCCAAAAGCAACTGACCTGAAGGGCCCAGGGGAGGACACAGAGGAGAGTAGCCAGCTGCCCTCAGGACCACTAGCATCTAAAATGTCTGCCTGGAACATAGAGCCAGAGATGGAGGACAGCACCCCTCCTCTCCCCTGCCCTGCAGCTAATGGAAGAGGCTCCATCTGGAAGCGACTCAAGAGGAGGGTTTTGAGTTGCTTTGAAAGGATGTGCTGTTGCTGCCTGCCCCGTTAGGACAACCCCAGAGTAAATGCCTTCCCCCTGTGAGTGAAGAACATCATTGACTGCCTAGAAACCAGAGCTCAAGTGCACCGGCAGCAAACCCATCACCACTGCTCCTAGCCTTGAATACATGCTGACCACGCCTGCAGACCAGCTTCCCTCTGCTGCTACCTCCCAGGACCATCACAAGCTTCACAGACTTTTTCTTTTCTTTTTTTGGTGTTTTGGCCTACATTGGGTACAATTTCTAACGTTGTTCCTGTGGTTCTCACCAACTTAATAAATTGTGATTTCTGGAAAAAAAAAGTTATCTGTCAAACATTTTTTCAGTCATAAAAGAAATGTAGATTCAAATGTCATGTGTAGCTTAGAAGAGTTCTGAATTTTATTCTGTTGTGGATTCTGGGGAGGTCTACCCCATGGAATGGATGCTATATAAAAGTTCTACACTAAGGTAGGTACTTCAGGTGTATTGTTCTTAAGTTTAAAGTATATTCAGACACTTGGAGAATGTTTATTGGGCTAATTGTTATGCCCTGCTCTAAGAGAGGAGAAAAACTGGCATTTCTAACAACTTACCAGGTAATATTGCTACTACTGCTGTTGCTGCTGCTGTGGACTACTCTTTCTATGATCATTGTTTGCATGAAATACTGAATTGATGACTGGACCCTACTTTTCAACATTAATCACATTGCTGTTGCTTTGAGTAAAATAAGTTAAAATTTACAATAAATATAAAGAACATTAGATTTGAAACATTATAAGGTACAGATTCATAAGATCACAGTGTTGTATTTTTTATGAGAAATTTTCCAGCACTACTGTATGTAGTATTTGAGAAAACAAAGGAACAGATACTGAGAATATTAATGCTAACTATAAAAAGAAAAATATAGGAAAAAATGAGAGCTATATAGTAATCAGTTATTCTGTGGGCATACAATAATGCCTACTTTATTGGATTCTAGAAAAAGGTATTTGATACCAAACTCTGTAATATTTAAAGCTCAAAATTGACATCAGAAAATTCCTGTTACATTGATCTGAACTAATGATGCCCAACTTCGTAATTGCTATTGCATATCATCATAATACACTTTCATCTAAAGTTCATCTTTTTTTCTTGAGGTAGTGAACAGAAATAAAACTGACATTAAAACTACTATCATCAATAGCATGACCAAAGTTTAGATCAAGGTGAACCTAGAAATATTTGTCCCGAATGATCACTGATTATAAAAAGTGAAAATTGAAAGAGCGAAATGTCAAAATGGCATCTCTTACATATTGTTCTCCTATGGAAGCTATTGTGCTAATAAATTCACTTGCTTGTGAATATTCTTTAAATAATGGTTCTTATTTTGTAACCAACTTCAGTGTAATAAGTATTTCCTTTTCTCTTTTAGCTCTGTTGGTTTAGCAAAAGCAGCTCTAGAAGCAATTAATGGATTTAACCTTTTTGGCAACCAGGTAAAAAGAAATCTTTGATTATTGTAATTCCATGCTTAAATAATTCGGGTATTCATTTTCTTATAATAACTAACTGCTTGTAATTTATATAGGAGCTTACACTTAAACAACTTTTACTTTAAAAATTATTTGCCAGCTAAATTTTTACTTTCTCATTGAAAATCATTGCTTAATTAAAACCCAAAACTTTGTTAATAATCCTGATTTGTTGAATAATTTTCCTCAAATATTTTCTTCAGATTTAGATGGGAATATTTTTCACATTACATATCATGTGTTTTCCATGTCTATTCTCATGTTGGTTTTAGCTTAATGTATATCAATGTTTATCTCATGCAAAAGGGAATTTGTATAATATATGTAGCCAGATAGTTTTCACCTTTAACTGCCTAGATTTATTTTTTTCTTATTAGATGTATTCTATTTAGCTCTTCTTTTTAAATTTAATTTTATTGTCAAGATGATGTACAGAGGGGTTTCAGTTACATATGTAAGGTAGTGAGTACATTTCTTGTCAAACTTGTTACCCCCTCCCTCATTTTTCCCTCTTACCCAGCCCCCAAGCTCCTGGCAAGTTGTACAGATCATTTCTAACATATTATCTTGTGATAATCATTGTTATATTCGTTCATCCTTTGTCCTTTGTCTCACCATTTTGTTGTTCCCCTTCTCTTCCCTAATTCACATAAATGTATATACAATACCCAGGGCACCAAAATGAAATACAGTAACAACAGGGGATAAACAATAAGAAAAAAAGACAAAAGAATAAAGAAAATCACGTAATACATTAAAAACAACAAAGAAGAACCTCTTATTTTCCATGTCTTAGAGTTCATTTCACTTAGCATCATCTTATATAGTCATATGTACATAGCTATTGGGGTATGCTGCTCATATGCTAAGACTGTCCTAGACATATACTGATGATAACAAATTAGGGAAACCATGGAGCCTATGTTTCTTTGGGTCTGGCTTACTTCACTTAATATGATTTTTTTCCAAGTCTTTCCATTTCCTTAGGAATGTGGCAATGCCATTCTTTCTGATGGAAGCATAGAATTCCATTGTATATGTATACCACATTTTTTTGATCCATTCATCTGGGTTGGTTCCATGTCTTTGCTATGGAAAATAATACTGCAGTAAACATAGTTATGCTGGTAGCTTTAGTGTGGCCTTGTTTGTGGTCATTTGGGTAAGTGCCCAGAAATGGGATTGCTGGGTCCTAGGGCAGTTCTGTTTAATCGTGCCTTGAGGAACCTCCATATTGCTTTCTAGAGTGGTAGAACAAGTTTACACTCGCACCAATAGTGCCATAGTTTTCCCTTTTGGCCTCATCCCTCCAGCATCTTTTGTTGTTAGATTTCTTGGTAATACCCATTCTAACTGGGGTGAGGTGGAATTTCATTATTGTTTCGATTTGCATTTCTTTCATGGCCAAGAGATATTGAGCATTTCTTCGTGTCTATTGGCCATTCTTATTTCCTCTTCAGAGAAGTCTCTCTTTAAGTCCTTACCCACTTATTAAACGGGAGGTTGTTTCTTTGAGGATTTGTTTTGGGGGGAATTTAATTTTTTGAGTTCTAAGTATATTTTAGGTATGAAGCCATTGTCTGTTGTATGGCTAGTGCCGATCTTCTCCCAATCCGAGGGCCTTCTATTGATCTTATTATGTTCTTTGCCATGAGGAAGCTCTGCAGTTTCATGCAGTCCCATTTGTCCAACCTTTCTTTTATTTGTTATGCTTCTAGGTCTTTATTAAGAAAATTTCAGCCCCTGCCAAGGAGCCCTAGAGTTTCTCCTATTGCTTCCTGTAATGTTTTCAGAGTATCTGCTTCTACCTCGAGGTTTTTGATCCATTTGGAATTGATTCTGGTGCAGGGTGATATATAAGGATCTAACCTTAGCTTTCTACAAGTGTTTAACCAATTTTGCCAGCACCATTTGTTGAAGAGGCTGTCTTTCTGCCATCCTATTTTTTTTTTGGCTCCCTTATCAACAATTAGGTGGCCATAGTTCTGCAGGATCATTTCTGGGTCTTCAGTTCTATTGGTCCTCAGGGGTGTTCTTGTGCCAATACTAAGCTGTTTTGATTACCATGGCTTTGTAATAGAGTTTGAAGTTTGGTATTGTTATTCCTCCAGCACTATTCTTTCTGCTAAGGATTATTTTGCTGTTTGGGGTCTTTTATTATTTCATATGAATTTTTGGATTGCTTCCTCTATTTCATTAAAGAATGATGTTGGGATATTGATGGGTATTGCAATGAATTTATACATAGCCTTGGGCAATATTGCTATTTTCACAATATTAAATCCTCCCAATCCAGGAGCATGGGAGGTTTTTCCACTTCCTTAGTTCTACTTTAATTTACTTTTTCAGATATTTAAAGTTTTCATCATAACTGCTTGGATTTATAACATTATTTTCCCTGGGAGAAAGA